CCGTGGCTGTGGAAAAACAAGGGAGCAGCTCCAAATACCGACCGCACACAGCCAGATCTAATCAAGTTCGACATAGCGTACTTCAGAGAAGAGAGCCCACGGAGACGCACTGAATGTCACAGCTTTCGCGCTGTTATTTTGCGAACATTGTTAACAAGTGCAAAAACCCTCTACAGTTTAAAAAGGCTACTGCTGGGATTTACTAAACAGGCGCAGTTTCGATTTTGCGACATAAAGGAGTGGGCCCGGGTATTTTTTTCGGCTTTGTATTTCATATGTGTTTGCAGAAGTTGCCCTTTCAGAGCGCAATATTTTGGGAAGAGAAAGGCGTCTAACTGAAGCTGAATTTCAGGCCAATAGAGGGCTTTGAGCTGACGCACACACTTGGTAAATCTGCCTCTAAGCATCATCTTTTGTAAATAAAATGCATTCCACCGTAAAAGCTGTCGGCACCTGCAGGTTTATTAATAACTTAAGGTTAAGAGTTCAGAGTCCCGGAACACTCTGCTTTGTTCATATTAACATTATATTCAAGTCTTCTTCATCAAGAACACGAGAAACAAGATAAAAGCAAATAAAATGCATGCAAATTCATTTTATTTGCATTATTATTATTATTATTATTTGTTATTATTTATTATATATATTATTATTTGCATTCATCTTATAGTGCGAGGCGTTTATTTATCTCAGCAGATGAAGATGTCTGACCTCTTCACTTTGACAGCCAATAAACTCATCATCCATCAGTCTTTCATCACGAACCTCTCCCGCTGTGAAATTTCGTACCTTACTCTGTTTATGCAAACTTTCTGGATTTGTTTCAAATTAAAAGCGCTCACCAGACAGTAATAGAGCTTTTCTTAACCGGGCTCTTATTCTGAAACATTAGTAGGAACCTCTTGTGAAAAACTAAACCGTTAAGAAAAATGGCACATAGGATGTGTGCCTCTGAGATTTCACTCTCTAATAACAGTTTGTTAATTCATGTTATTACTGTGTAAAGTTTGTCTGAGGTAGAGAAAGGGGGCAACTCCTCAAAACAGACATTGTATTTCAGTTTTATTTCATTTACACAAAAGTCAGTGAGTGCTACAGGCAGTGGCTATGAAAAAGCAACTGCAATCCATTTTGCAGTTCTCTCCATATTTTGCTTACAAGAAGCCAGATTTTCCTTTAATTATTTAAAGTGGTATTAATCATTCAAGCATACAATAGGCACCTAACTCAAGTGATGAATCGGTGATGTGTCTGTGACAACTTTGAAAGTGTCGTTTATATTTAGGAAAATTGTTACTAACAGAAAAGAAATGACAAGAAAGGTGCCTAAGAGTCAGTGCACTTAGTTCCTATGTTCTAAGCACAGTATGTGTCTGTGTATATTTATATGTGTGTGTATATGTGTGTACATACATACAGTAGCAAATGGTATTGATCCTAGCTTCCTCAAAAATGTTTCCATAATAATAATAGATTATTCCAGTGAAGACATAAAAATAGTT